ATGTAAGGGGGCAAAATGGTCTTTTTGCCCTCAAGGAGCGTAGTTGTGGGATTTGGACTTGTGAGTCGGGATAATGACCTTAATTGACTACGGTTACTTGTTGTGTTATTAGGCGGAGTCTAGTTCTGTCAGTTCGGGTGAGAGATTTATCTGTCATCAGTATTAGGTGAGTCTTCTCCCTTATTCTTACATGTATGATAGAATAGCAGTACCTGTGATGACCAGTTGGGTCTAGCTATTATTTTGTGTTATGTTGTTTATGTGTGACTTAGACTTCGGGTAATCTCCAGGGTTGCTGATAACCCACAGGGCGTACTGTTTGCCCATTTGGACTACTGATAGTCCCCAGGGTTGCTGATAACCCATATATGTTTATTCATGTTGTGTTGTATGTGGTATTTTGGGGGACTCACTAAGCATCATGCTTACAGTTGTTGATTATATGTGTTTCAAGTACTTCTGACGATCGCGAGAAGGCGAATGTCTGATTATACACACACGCTGGGAGATTTGTGATCGGACATTTTGTGGCACTCTGATATTCTGTGATGAGGATTTGTATTTGATACTTGTTTTTTTCCGATAACTTGGTTTATGAATAATATTTTGGGTATTTTAAAAATAAAAATTTTGGTTTGAAATTTGAGGTGTTACAAAAACATACCAAATAAAACGATACATAAAAAAATATAGAAAAATACTACTCGTCGTCGTTGTCGTCACCGACCTCATCCGCCTCATCGTCATTGTCCTCATTCGTATTGTCTTCATTGTCATTTTGACCTTGGAATTGTCTTTCCCATATGTGATCGGTCAAATCGTGACGTAGACTGTGATGTGTTTTGACGGTTTTGTACTTTCAAAACCCTTAAGAAGTATGTCGGGCTGTCAACTTGTATTACAGCAGGTGGATTAAGTATATCGTTCGAGGTATATTAACAAATAGCCCTATCATCTTCTTCTATTATCATGTTATGTAAAATAACACAAGCAATCAACACCGTCCTCAATTTTTCCCTATCACATGTTTGTGCCGGATGTTTGATTATGTGCCACTTTTGTTTGTGGACTCCAAACGCTTGTTCCACATCCTTCCTTGCAGATTCCTGTGCTAACTTGAAAAAATTTTGTTTTTCATCAGTCGGAAATAAATATGACTTGATAATTGTAGCATACTTTGGATATATCCCATCACCTAGGTAATACCCATACTATATTCATTTTCATTCGCAACGTATGACATGTTTGATGCTTTATCCTACAAAATATTGATAAATAACAGAGACACTTGGAGCACATTCAGGTTTGTTTGAACCCATCATACCAAAGAATGCATGCCAAAACCATATTTCATGTGAAACAACTTCTTCTAATATAACAGTAGGCACCCCATGATCACCTTGAGTGAATTGACCACACCACGCGTTCGGACAATTTGCCCATTCCCAATATGTACAATCAATGCTACTAAGCATCCCTGGAAAACCATATTTAGCTTGATGCGCGAAATACAATTGTTCAACATCACTTTTAGTCGGATGTCGAAAGTATATGTCACGGTAAATCTCTATAACATACTCACAAAAAAGATATGTGTAGTCTCGACCCGTTCTCTCAAACATTTTCAAATACTCATATGATGCGTCTGCGGCTATGCCATATCCCAATTGTTTAAGATCGATCGTACATTTTTGTATTGTAATAAAACCACGTTTACCTCTAGCATCTCATATTAATTGGAAAAACTCATAATTCCATTCCAAATCTTTAGCTATACTAAAGAATACATTTCTACTAATATGAAAACGTTGTTCACATTTCGATAGATCATATAAACTATCAGGGGCAAAATAATCACATACCAAAAGTTCATTTTCCGCCTCTCAATCCTAATTGATCCATTTTCTACGCTTCTTCTCGCCCTGTGAACCTTCGTCTCTCTCACGTACCTTGTATTGTTCTGCAGACAATAGTGTATGCAAAACCAAATCGTCATCAGAATTATCATTGGATGAAGAAGAAATTACACCAAAAAATTATCCATTTTTTTGTTGAATGTGTGTGTTTTGTTTTTAAAAATGTTGAAAATGAGTGTATATATAGATAAAAATTAAATTAATAATGAATATTTTTTTGTTAAATGCTTTCAAACGGTCAAAAAAGATGTCAACGTTCAAATTTAAGCTCAACCAATTAAAACGCACATCTTCGTCCGTCCTACCACCCACCCACTCACACCACACCCAACCCACCCACCCTAGAGGAAGTGTTCACGCGTCTCCACGGGTGCCAAGTCACCTCCTCACGCATGGAAATCCATCCACTCTGAATAGCTTAAGGAGTAAGGTCATCGGGGTCAATGGAAGATAATATACAATCTTATAAATTTTTGTGTATTCTAACGTCTATAAATTTCATATTTGAACAGTATGATGTACGAAAACCATAGTTTATATCAATATAAAAAACACACTATATAATGATATAAAGAAAGCATATTTGGAGTCTAAATCATTATACATATAAAATAAGACGATCTAAATGATATATTTGAATTCATACTGAAAATAAAAAAAAATGATGGAAAATAAGAATAAACACTTCAGTAATTACAAAATAAAATATAGAGTAAATTACACGAATGGTCCCTATGGTTTGGGGTAATTTATACGTTTGGTTCCTAACTTATTTTTTTAACTTGGAATGTCCATACAGTTTGTTTTTGTTGCACGCTTGCTCTCTCTCTCTCTTACCTAAAAAGACTATTTTATCCTTAATTTTTTTAATTTATTTAAATAAGGTGGGGTAGGTAAGATAAAATAAGGTGAGGTGGAAGTGGGGTTGAGGATGTGTATATTTAAATAAATTAAAATATCAGTGACAAAATAGTCTTTTTAGGTAAGATAATGACCAAACACGCAACAAAAACAAACATTAGAGACCTTCCGAGTTAATAAAATAAATTAGGAATCAAACATTCAAATTATACCAAACCATAGGGACCATTCATGTATTTACTCTAAAATATAATAAATTGATGTATAGACTAGTATGCTATAAATTATCCATTTTGTCTTGAGTTCTTTTAAGGGACATTAACAAAACTAGCCTAAACATAATTTTAAAGAAAATAACTAATTTTTACGAAATGGGTTATTTCAGACCCAATTTTGGTCGGGTATTGGGTACGGTTTTAGCGGTTCCCCATTAAAGTACTTCTAATAAAAAATATATTCAAGATTTCACAAGGTTATTTTAGCTTACAAACATAAAACAAAAATTGTTTGTCTTGAATAAGTCTGAAATATTTCAAAATTTCCAAAAAAAAAAAAAAATATTTTTTCCCAACACACAAAAACTTGATGATTATTAATTTATGTATTCATAACAGATATATATGTTAATATCCTTATTTTTAATCATTAAAAATATCAATATAGTCATATCTATTAGGTTGGAAGGTATGGAGCGGGAAAGAGGAGCGGGAGGGCTTCCCTTTCACTGGAACACCGCCTCCTGGCAGAGAGAAGCAAACTGCAGGAAAGAGGTGGGGGGAGGGAGTGACGCACTCTCTCTCCTCGTTCTATTGGGCAGTTTTTTTTTATATTTTTTTAATATTTATAAAATTATATATCTACAAAAAAAATATAAAAAATATATTAAAATCCATAGTTTTTAATTCCCTACAAAATAAGTATAATATATGCATGAAATATATTTAAAAAAAAATAAAAAAAGTAGTGAGGGGAGCTTCTCGCCCATTCTTTGGGTTTTAGATGAGGAAAATAAAAGTGAAAAAAATAGTGGTGCGACCCACAAAAAATAAGGGAAACATCCCTTTCATACCCTCCAGTCTTATTGTCATGTTACATTATCTCTCTATTAAAATTCACTTTTTTGTTGTTCAAAACAAAACTCAATCATTTTATTGTTATTTACATAAATCATGAATAGATTAGATTGTGGTTTCAAAACAAACATATAACAATACATAAATACACCATTCATTATTGTTCCTTTAACAGCTTTTGTGGATACTAACCCCTGAATCAAGCCACATGGTAGGATGCAAAATTTAATGACACTAATCCCCAATGATAAAAAGTCTAACTTAGTAACTTACTCTTTTGTCCTATCTAATTATAGTAATTTTATTTTCATATTTGCTCTCTCTCTCTCTCTCTCTCTCTCTCTCTATATATATATATATATATATATATATATATATATATATATATATATATATATATAAAAATTTGAATAATTATAAAAATATATATAAATGTTAAAGGTAAAGGCAATCAAGAAATCTACTCTAGTTTAAAAAAAAAAAAAAAAAAAAAAAAAGACAATAGCATAGTAATATAGTATTTAGAAGAACTTGGACAAACCTTGAAATTTTGTCTCAAATTAATGTTGAAGTATATTACAAACGCCAATTAACACTGTAATGGGATTAGCAAGTACTATAATACTTAGGTTCCTGTTATTGGCTAATTGATTGTACAATAGCATATTTTGAAGTTATCTATACTTAAAAACTTTGTTTCAAAAGCAATGTTTAAAAAGACAATGGTATAATTTTATAATTAGATAAAAATCTGGTTATCAAACAAAAAGTTGTTATTAATAAATCAAATTTATATTTATGTAATATGATGAATTATTTGGTCATAAATTATAACACATGTATTTAAACTTTGATTTTAAATATTTTTATAATACATGTATTTAAACTTTGATTTTAAATATTTTTATTACATACCTTACGTAAAAATAAACTTATTCTATATATAATGCATCTAATAAAATAGCCATAAATTGTTAAAATGGTTAGTTTTTTCCACATCTCTAACTAACACAATTCTTAATTTGCAATAATACCATATTGCATCATATGCATGGCATGTGCATACATTTTGGTCAACCAAGATTCAAATATATATGTTTGACCCCCTTTCTCCTTTGAACATCACACACACTCATTAGACATCATAAAAATGTCTTATTTTCTCCTCTCTAGATTTCTTGAATTACTTGTAATACTTTCATTTGCTCATTTTTCATTTTCAACACAAATTCAACAAACTTTCGATCAATGCCTTTCTACCATTCAAGTCCCCGATACTTTCTTCACCCCTAACAACCCTAACTTCACAACCCTCCTCAACTCCACCGCCCAAAATCTCCGTTGCTTAACACCTTCGTATCCAAAGCCCCAAGCTATTTTCACCCCGTTGAACGAATACGATGTCCAAACCGCGGTTATCTGTGCGAAAAAACTAGGCATTCATTTGCGGTTCAGAAGCGGTGGTCATGATTACGAAGGAATATCTTTCACTTCTGCTATGGACCCGCCTTTTGTTATGATTGATATGTCAAAAATGCGTGACGTGAACGTTGACCTTGATGACAATTCTGTTTGGGTCGAAGCCGGTGCGACTGTTGGTGAACTGTATTATCGAGTTGCTGAGAAGAGCAGTACGCATGGGATCGCTGCAGGGCTTTGCACGAGCCTAGGTGTTGGTGGGCATATCACCGGCGGCGCGTACGGGTCCATGATGAGGAAATACGGACTAGGGGTGGATAACGCATTAGATGTGAAAATCGTCAACGCCGATGGAAAAATCATGGACAGGGTTTCCATGGGCGAGGACGTGTTTTGGGCTATCAGTGGAGGTGGTGGAGGTAGTTACGGAGTTATACTTTCCTGGAAACTAAAACTCGTACCTGTCCCTGCCATAGTTACGGTTTTCAATGTTCAAAAAACATTGGAACAAGGTTGTACTAAAATTCTTTACAAATGGCAACAAGTGGCACCAAACTTTGATGATGATCTTTTTGTCAGAGTTATTATCAATCCCATGGATATTTCAGGTACAACTAAAAGAACCATAAGTACAACTTATAATGCACTCTTTCTTGGAGGAGTTGACCGGCTTCTTGATATCATGAACAGTAGTTTTCCCGAACTGGGTCTGAAGAAAACCGATTGTTCCGAAATGAGTTGGTTGGAATCGGTCATGTTCATCGCCGGGTATCCCACCACCGTACCAACCACCTTCCTCCTCACCGGAAAACCAGCTTTCTTGAACTACTTCAAAGCAAAATCAGATTTTGTGAAACACCCAATTCCAGAAACTGGATTGGAGGGGATTTGGAAAAGGTTACTAAATGAAGAAAACCCATTAATGATCTGGAATCCATATGGAGGAATGATGGGGAGGATTTCGGAATCATCAACGCCGTTTCCTCACAGAAACGGTGTGCTTTTCAAGATTCAGTATGTGAACATTTGGTCGGTGCCGGAAAAAGAAGCGATGAAGAAGCATTATAAGTGGATCAGGAAGTTTTACAAGTACATGGGTCAGTATGTTTCGATGGATCCAAGAGAAGCTTATGTGAATTACAGGGATCTTGATCTTGGAATGAACGACAAGAATGGCGATAATACGAGCTTTGAGAAGGCAAGTTCATGGGGAAGAAGGTACTATAAAGATAACTTCATGAGGTTGGTGAAGGCGAAGACGGAGTTTGATCCTGATAACTTCTTTAGACATGAACAGAGCATTCCTGTTCTTCCAGGGAAAGGTTTTTGATTTAAAGTCACCTTCTCATTTTTTTTTTCTCATAAATCTGCTTTGTATTTGACAAGTGAGGTTAAAATCGATGTTTTGTGTATCTTAGAAATGAAAGACGACAAATAATCAAGTTAAAAATTTGGATGGGAGTTGTTCTTTTCTCTTTTTTTTTTTTGGTGTATGAACTTGCATTCGTTATGAATTCTTATTTCACGTTAAACAAAACTTTTGATTCAATTAAACAAAACTCTTATAAGGGCATTTAGGCTATATATCTAATGATAGGATAATCACCACTCCATTTTATCAAGTTATTACTTTTCAATTATTTAATAAACTTACTAATTTGAGATTAAAAAAATAATAAGGTTTAAAACTGAAATTAAAAATATAATAAACCAAAAATTACATAATTAAAAATAAAAACTACATGATTAAAAAATTACATAATTAAAACTTAAAATTACTTGTTGGCGTCGTCGTTATTGTTGCTAAGATTCTTGTTGTATATATGCTCCATATCTTTTCGAAAATAGTTGCACATTTGAGTAGATTGTATTTCAATAACTCTTGAAATGTATTCATAGGTTCTAGGTACAACTTGTTGGTACGTATGAAGTATGTCATTCAGATTATATGTACAAATTGTCCGACATTTTGATAAAAGCGTACATTATGTCGTGTATTTTATCATGATCCTAAAGTCGTGCCGTATGTTTCACTACATGTCATTTCCTTTTGAGGACTCTGAAAGCCCGTTCCATGTCCTACTAGCCGATTCTCATGTTGTTTTCAATATTTTCATTTTTCATCGTGCGGATATGTGTATGCTTTCACAAATGTAGCATAATCAAGATATATCTCATCAATAATGTAGTAAATATTTTGTATTCGTGTTCATTCTCCGTGAAAGTGATATAATGTGTTTTTCATGTTGGAATATCGTTGAAAATTCCGAGAATATTCATTTCATTAACATGTGATTTTATTTTTTTAAAAGGAAAAAACAAGAAGCCACTAATAGTTATATATTTGGGAATTCAGCCGGTTTCACAAAAAGTTTGGATTTTAGGCTTATTGACCATAACGTTAATAACATTTTTTTAACAGAAAATGACACACAATATTATCTTATTACAATTTTATTGTATTCTTTTTGTCTCATGTGTTATTTATTGTTATGTAATTGTATTTATTTACTCAGAGTATTGTTTTACTATAAGATTCAAACCTCGATCCGAAAATGAGAGAAAAACAAATATTTTTAGGCAAATGATATTTTTTGTTAGACATAGAGAATATAGTTAAATTATAGTTGGATAATATCATTCATCTATCAGATATATTGAATACAATAAAATTATAGTAAGATATACTTTATGTCAGTGATAAAAAAAAAATAAGACAATAATTTTGTAGTAAAATAATACTCTATGTATGATAAACAGAAAGAATACATTGATAATACTCTTTGTTAGACAAAAATAATATAATAAAATCATACTTTTTCGGACATAAAGAATATATTATCATTAGAGGAACATAATACTATTACAATATCATAGTAAGATAAAAATGTTGTCCTAATCATTTATATATTTTGGATTTTAATTGGTAATCTTCATGAAAGTCCTTAGATTTGCATTCATTAACGATAAAATTGTTTTTTTAACGGATTAAGTAAAATCATACTTTTTCGGATATAAAGAATATATTATCATTACAGGAACATAATACTATTACAATATCATAGTAAGATAAAAATGTTGTCCTAATCTGTTAAAAAAACAATTTTATCGTTAATGAATGCAAATCTAAGGACTTTCATGAAGATACCAATTAAAATCCAAAATATATAAATGATTACTGGTTTCTTATCATTTTTTGTAAACAATTGCCCGTATTTTATCATTTTCTGTTAAAAACATAGAGTCATGACTTTATTGTCAATAAGCCCATAATATAATATAAGAACTTTGTTTTGCACATTAAACTTAGAAATACATTTGCATTACCTTTCAATTAAACAAGCTTAACCTTTTGAAAAAAAGAAAAAGCTAAAACAACTTCACAAACCATCAAAAAACAATTTCAGACAATCAATGGATTGATCATGATGATGAATGATACATACCACATCTCTTCCTAGTGATCTCACTTCTACTTACGCATTTAAAAGAGTTGACTATATAAGCTGCTGCGACAACAGCTCCAATAATAAACAGAAAGAAAAGATACTACAAATTTCAAAAGAAAAGAACAAGTATAAACCATCAAACATTAAAACATGCCTTTTTGTATTGCCTTATAAATGAATTGATCTTATTATAAACGTAATTTGCATGTACAAGAAAGAGCCATTGTGCCCTAATCACTAAATGCTACAACCATAATACACTTTATATATAGGTAGCAAAAAAGATTTTTACAACCTAACTTACCTCCCTATCTTAAACACCTCTCACTTTTCCACGCCTTTCGAAAAGAATCATACCCTAAAAAGTAAAAACACCGACTCGACTCAACTGGTTATCTGTAACTGTGACTGTGACTGTAACTAGTATACTCAAAATATCATCTATACAACATAACAACAACATTTTCAAACCATCATATTCAAATCTGTTAAATCATCCATTGGAATCTCAAGTCCCAAAAAGTCATCATCTTGTAACACCTCATCCCCAATGTTCAACCATGAACCTATGTCCTGCCCTTGTCCCACATCCACATCAAACTCGGGGAGTTGAAGGTGGGACAAATCAAGTGGATCCTCTAACAATAACATACACTCATTCTTTTCCTTCTCCTCCACCTTCGGAATCGGAACTGAAGATACCTGACTTGTTTTCTGTTTTATCTTTGCTTTACTCTTTCTTTCACCGTTCCCAGATACCGTGGGTCGCCCGATTTTAGGACCTCCATTTCTGATTCCATTCCCTTTCCCTTCCCTTTCCCTTTCCCTATCACTCCTCTTTCCTTTTCCAGATGATGTAGATGTACCCGCCACGTCATCAAGGTATAATTCCCGCTTCTTACTCCTGATTGGCCAGACATCATCCTCTTTACCTTGATCAGATGAATGGTTTTGTGTATCTGGTGGATACGAGTCAAAGTTGGTCAATGAAGGGCTTTGTTGTGTGTTTGTGTTATCATTAAAGTGGGATAATCCAGAGAGGAACATGTCCATAAATAAAGGCTCAGAGAAGCAGCTTTTTCCAGTTGTTTCAAATTCATGACATCTGTCTAATGTCCGTTTCACACACTCTAAAGCAAGCTGCTTTGCCATTTTTCCATTGACACCTTTACCCCCGGGTGCATTTGGACCCCAACAATTCTGTACATTAAAAAAGGGTATTCAAAATTAAAAGCTTTTGTTATTAAAGATTCTATAATCATGCACTTATACATTACCATGTATTTATGATAAGCGATTCTTGTGAGCTTTTCAAGAGAAAGTTGTTCGAATTCCCTACAAGTAAATGTTTGAATAAGAATCAAAAAAGTCAAAGTCAAAGTCAAGCAAGAAAACACTTACTTCTCATGTAACACCCTTGCTTCCTCAGTAGACTTTAAAAGCTTGTTCAGTAGAGTTTTCTTTCTGGAAACCTGTAACTCAACTCTATTAGGTCTGTTTCTTCTCAAACAGACTAAAATGACCATTTTACCCTTACATCCAAAAAGCAAATTCCATGATGTTCAACAATTTTTTACCTGTTGGTGATGTTTTTCTTCCAGCCTGCGGATATCTATGCTGACATCTTCCTCTCCAGTCTGTACTAAATCCGGCTGAAGTGCAAAAAATTGAAGTAAATAAATTATTCAAGAAAGAAAATGCATGTGAATAAGAGAAAAAGACACATACCACAGGTGATGGATAGAGTCCAAGACTATGAATCTCCATGAGAAGTCTTTCATCCATGGACATGTTTCCATACTGATATTGAGAACATGTTACAACAGTAGGTTCTGAAACTAGTAGACCCTTGTAGCAATCATCAAAACCTGTATCTCTTAATGGTGAATCCATCCTGTAACTGCTTAAAAAACTTCCATCTGTTTCAGGCTCAAATGCAGATTCATAAACATCACTTCCATGCCAGGTGTAATGATTGTCATCTTCTTCAGAAATTAGAGCAGCAAGAAGCCTCTGACAGAGGGAAGTTCCTGACATTACATGTTCTGAGGATTCACTACTGCATTCTGTTTCAGTTTTTGGAGGTTCAAAACTTCCATTCGACTGTGTATCACAATAATCTATTGAATTTGCAGTGTTAACAGTAGATCGTATGCTTCCCTGTTGAAAAGTTAAAGAGAGTTGAAGTTGCATTGATGATAACTGATGAGACAGGATTCATGTTATATATTACAGACCTAAAAAGAACAATCACCTCTTGCTTTATGTAGGCCACATCAGCATCATATACAAAACCAAAAAGTCGATCCATCTGACTCCAAAAAGGACTGGATGAAACAAAACCTGCAATTACAATTTACCAATCCATCTATTAGAAACTAAACCATGGTTAAAAGTACTAATAGAAACTAACCATGGTTAAAATTAAAACTACTACAGAACAGTACCAGGATTAGGATTGATAACAGCATTTGCAGCAGCCAAAAGCTCTCCATTCCCATCATCTGAAGTAACTAATAGAAACTAACCATGGTTAAAAGAGGAACAAACAAAAAAAAAAACTATGATAGTAACTGAATAGTCAACATTTCATATACCAAGAAAATCTGTAGGGGTAGTAATGGAAGAATGTTTTTGTCTCATATAAGCTTTCCGACCTGAGAGTTTCCTAGTGGGAGGCCGGCCTATTTTACTGTGAATATTTCATAAAATATGAACATGAAAAAAAGTTAAAAGATTTATAGAGATGATGCATTGATATATAAATGTAAGAAGAAAAAAACCTTTCAGGCTTATCAACACCAAGTCTTCCACTTTTAAGTTGTTTTGCTGTTCCAATAGATCTTGCAGAAGCAAAACCAGTCATGAACTTATTCTTTCT